GAAACACCCATGCAGAACAGCATCTTGCCTTAATCTCAGGAATTGTCACCACTCCAGCTTTCTTCCTGCTCTCTAGTTCATAGTCTATAGACATTTCTGCACTGAGCTACACAGTCCTCTTAGATGAACACACTGCTTCCAGGGTGAATTATCTCACCCCACCAACCTCAGCCATACACAAGCTATCTTTACAGGGGGAAATCTATCATTGTTTCACTTAGGATGCTTGGACAATTTCACACCATTTTGAAATAAAACCCTAAGATGCATTGGCCTTCCCTTCTCTATCATTGCTTGTGGTTTTGCTTTGTAATATGTGTATTACAGAGTTAATGAGCCATTTCAAGTATAACTAAGTTCTGATATTCAGATTTAAACATGGGAACACATGGTGACTTCAAACATATAATAAGGTAACTCATCTTGATTGCTACACTACCAGAGCTTATAGCAGATGATGTACTTCAGAGCCAGTTTATTTAGAGCCAACCCATAACAAATTTAAGCAACACCTTCCTATATCCATGAGTATAGTTTGCAGATAATACAGTAAAATTTTCTCTCCAAGTTCAGATGTCTTTAATTTCTGGATTAATTTCCAACATAGGAGGGCTATGGCCGCCAAAGAAGGGGAATGATATAATCAGAACTGATGAATATATCTAATATTTATATATTACATATACAGCAGGCTCTGTGAGACTGCTGTCCTCTGTTCATGTCATCTCTGCTGCTAAGACTAAGGCTGCCTGTAATTGATGCTTCACACCACATGCTGATTTTGGCTTGTCTTGGGACATAAGTATTCCCATAGCCTCATCCAATCGGGCTTTACCTTTACCAAGATCGTCCTTAAGGGCAGGCTTGGAGGCCACCATTGACCTTCTCTTTCTCTATAATCAGTTACCAATCACCTCATGCAGCTGACGAACTTCTCTGAATGCAACACTTGCTGATGTAAGGTGGGCCCTCAGCAGCCACTGAGATATCACTACACAGTACACCAGAAGGAGCCGGGCTTTGTACCTTAACCAATTTAGGCCACTCAGAATATATAGACAATTAAAGAACAATATGGAGAATGAAGAAGGTCCCTGGGCCCAGATTCTGAATTGACAAAATTCTCAAGCAGTTCTTCTTTGATGCTGGTAAAATTCTTCATCGTGCATGTTGTCTTAGTCAGCGTTCCTATTGCTGTGAAGAGACACCATGACCACGGCAACTCTTATAAAGGAAAACATTTAATTGAGGTGGCAGTTTACAGTTCAGAGGTTCAGTCCATTATCATCATGGTAGAACATGGCTGCATGCAGGCAGACATGGTGCTAGAGAAGGTGCTGAGAGCTCTACATTTGGGCCCCACAAGAAGCAGAAAGAGACAGGGAGCCACTAGGCCTGATTTGTGCTTCTGAAACCTCAAAGGCCCCCAACTCCTGAGTGACACACTTCCTCCAACAAGACCACACCTACTCCAAAAGGCTACATCTCCAATAGAGTCTTTTTATCTCCAATAGAGGCTTTATCTCCTTCTCAGTCTATGGGGGCAATTGTTATACAAACTACCACACATGCATTTGTAATCCTAAAGGACATACAAGCCCAAACCCAGAAATGACTCAAAACAGATAGATGTTTGCTTAAATTGGAGAATTTTTATTCTCACAATACTCCACTTTAAGAAATGATGGAAATGATGGAATAAAATGATGGCAATAATTAGAAAAGTAAAGGGATACATGCTTAGTAGATAATGTTCAAATCAGAACCTCACCTAAGATTATGTTGATAAATTGATTAGCATATTAAAAATTCTAGGTATAGGGAAGACATTAGATGAAGAAGCTTAAGGTGGGGGAAATGTGGGTGTGTCTATAGAGTGAATTATCAAAAAGCTTTATTTCCATTGTACAGTTTTTCTATGAAAGGAAATTTGATTAAGTTGCATAATACCCTTTCCCAGACACACACACACACACACACACACACACACACACACACACACACACACGTCAG